CCCTTTGTCTCACACAACAGGAAGTAACTTAGTATGACTCCAAAATTCATGAGATTATTGAAGACCACTTTCTCAGTATCTAAAGGCTAAAATACCCAACACAGACCAAGACTTTGAACAAACATGAATTCTTCCTCAAAAACTTTTATGTATTCAAGAACATTTCTTCTGGTAATTGGACGTCCTGTCCTCCTGACTCAGTCTTTAATCAATTTCGGACAGGTCCTTACATTTCAAATAGCTTTGAGTAAAGATGTTGAGACAAACTCCGAACAAACATGAAATCATCAAAATCTTATTTAGGAACTTAACTGTGTCATTATGGATGTGTCCCCTGGACATCCTGTTCTCCTTTGTAACCTAATCTGAACTATTTTGAGATAAAGGTTCATATATAAACCAGTCTTATATTTATGTTCACGAACACAGATCTTTAAGGGATTCTTCATCCTTGGACTTTTCTTCCTCTGAAGAACATGGCTCCTAAAAGGATGCAAAAAGATGTTGTTTGCCAATATATCTGTAATGTAGTAAACAGCACTAAAACCTTCATACTGCTCACCTTTGTTTCACAATGCTGTCATGACCTCCGCGTGCGATGCATTTTTCTCATTTTCTGTTTGCAAGGAACATGTCTCCTTAAGATGGGACACAGGCAGATATCGGTTAATGTATGACCTTATTTCAGGCACACAAAGTGAAACCAGTTTACTTCCACTCACCTGTCCTTCAACATCCATCTCATCTTCTATGTACAATGAATATGGCTCCTTAAGATGGGGAACAGAAAGATAGTGGTTCATGTATGACTTGATTTCATGCACACAAAATTAAACCAGTTTACTTCCACTAACCTGTCCTTCAACATCCATCTCATCTTCTATGTAGAAGGAACATGGCTCCTTAAGATGGGGAACAGACAAATATTGGTTAATGTATGACTTGATTTCATGCACACAAAGTCAAACCAGTTTACTTCCACTCACCTGTCCTTCAGCACCAACCTCATCTCCGTTACCCATGGATCCATTGTCCTCTGATTTTTCTATCTGAAATTTTGTGATTCAGAGGTCATGGACAGAAATCCTATACTATACTTCCTGTACACATCACTAAGCCAAGGTTAATACACCTCACCTTAGCTTCAACACAGGCTGTCAGACCCTCCTCAATAGATGCATTCTTCTCATTGTCCTCTGCAGAGGAAGACAGCACCTGGAGACAAATCATGAGATTTTTTTATGCAAGGGACAGATAGATGTTGGGTTTTTACTCACATTTTAAATGCCAAGATGGTCCTGTTATTCAACAGAATTACATTCAAAGGTTTCCAGCTGCCACACTATGAAATGTATACTAACCACTGGTTCTGCTCCTTAATGACTAGATGACTCCAGAGTTTACAGTGATATACAGCATCCTAAACAGCATAGAGTTAATCATAAAACAGAGACATAAATATCTGACAGCTACTCACAGGGTTGGTAGTCTCTGTTTTCTCATACGGTTTGTCTTCTTCCCCACACCTGAGCTGCAATGATGAGCGCAGTATGAAAAAATATTCTATCTGTTGGCACAAATGACCACAACACTTACATGTGCAGATTTCTTTAGTTGAACCTTCATCACCTGTTCTAAGCTGGTGGGCCAATAGTTGCATGAGTTTGTCTGAGCCCATAGATTCCTCCTTAACTTTCCATGCCTTTTTCTGCGGCAGTAGTAAATGACTGGGGTGAGCATAACAGTGATGACCACAATCACAGCAACAATAGCTCCTGCTATAATTCCTGCTGTAGGTCCATGTCCGTCAATCACTGTTGATGGAGATGTGATATTGAGTACAGGCTCACAGTCTTCCATACCCACTCCTGCTGTAATTTCCGCTGTAGTTCCTGTGTTAGGTCCACGTCCGTCAATCACTGTTGATGGAGATGTGATATTGAGTACAGGCTCACAGTCTTCCATACCCACTCCTGCTGTAATTTCAGCTGTAGTTCCTGCTATAGGTCCATCAATCACTGTTGATGGAGATGTGATATTAAGTACCGGCTCACAGTCTTCCAAACCCACTTCTGCTGTAATTCCAGCTGTAGTTCCTGCTATAGGTCCATGTCCGTCAATCACTGTTGATGGAGATGTGATTTTGAGTATAAGCTCACAGTCTTCCATACCCACAAGGTTCTGGACAGTACAGCGGTATGTTCCAGAGTCCCTCTCTGTGATCTTATCCAAGTATAAGTCCCCTTCTGGAGCATCAACAAAGGCATCTGGATCCAGCATCCGGTTTACGCTGAGCTTTGCCCATCTGTATTTAAGCGGTGGAGTGCCTTGTGAGGATTTGCATCTGAGCCTTATATTTGTATTTAACACAGCTTCATCATCCATGTAACATACCGGTTTGTCTGGCCTCTCCATTACAGTCAGAAGAATGTCTTTAATCTGTTCTCTTGCTAGGTATCTCACCTTACATTGGTATGTTCCAGAATCTGTAAGCTTAAGGTCAGTGATGCTTAGAGAAGCATCACCGTCTTGGGGCTCATGAGATGTAAAGTAGATCCTGTTCTTTAAAGGGGCATATAAATTATTATGAATGAGACTTTGAGCATACCAGAGTATAAGTTTTTCCTGCCTGTTTGGTGGCACAATGTTCCACTCTATGTCCAAATCTTCCAAATCCTCAGAATCAAGGGTGAACTTACAGTTGAGAGACACACTTCGATCTCTAGTTCCATAATAGTGATTATTGTCAGATGTTATTTTTAGAGAATAAGCTTGTTCTGGGGTAAGAGTGCATAATATCCTCATGGCAACAGTCCATAGCATGGCGAAATATCCCTGGAGGCAGCAATGTTGATGCACAAGCATAATGATGTACTTGGATTGGTGGGCTGCAGATTCAGGTTGCACTGCCTGGGTTTCACTGTAAAACGTAAGTTTTACAGTTAGAGCAGGACTGTATATGGGAACATACATATTAGACCTTGGCATACCAGTTTGGCTGAGAGAGAGAGTGAGAGAGTGAAAGGTATCCTCTTAGGCCCCAGACCCCATACATACACAATATTATTTTCATGTCATATGGTGTTGATTACAAGAATGTGAGATTGTTTAAAATACCATTTCTCCTGTGATGTAAAGAAAATAAAGCCTACAAATATCACAACATTCAACAAGTTTTTGAAAAGTTCCAGTTCCACATCAGGCAAATCAGGCATTTTAAGCGACAACAATCTAAAAATATCCTACAATATCCAAGTGGGAGTAGTAATAAAAACACAAAGTATCTAAAATATTCCAAAGCATATTCTGTAAATTATGCAATACATTTTTTATTGATTATGTCAACTTAATTTATTTGACCCATGTTAAATATGGAGAAACAGCTTTACAGTAAATTGGGTTCATAATTGCCTCAGCTCTATCATATTACAGTAGTGTGCTACTTAATAGCAGAATACATTGTATCAGAATTTTTACAAGTTTTAATATTTTACTGCAAAAGTGGGTCCTCATTTATTACTATACAGAGAAAATGGACAGATTCACTCGCAGAACTTTTACCTCCACCTCCGCCATTTGTCGCTCAGAGATTTCAAACTAAAATAAAACTTTATCTACAGTTAAGTTGGCCACAAATCCACAACATTTTAGCTGGAAAAAGAGTAAAAGTGTGGTGTAATTTTGCAGCATTAAAGCAATGTAACAGGAAAACAAAACAGAAAGTGGGCTACAAACCAGAAATTAACTCTTACCTGCAGAAGAGCTGAAATCTTTCAAAACCTGTGCAGATTTAGCAGAACACAATGCAGGATGATGCAGAAACCTCGAGGCCAGTTCAGAAAAGTGAAGAAAATCCACAACATCACCAACACACTGGAGAAGCCAATCAGTGCAGTCATTAACTTTTCAGCCAATCAGAGCAGTCTTTAATTTTTTAGCCAATCAGAGCAGAGCCATGTCCTCCTGTGTGAAGGGCAGGAAGAGCGCAAGAGAGACAGAGAGAGAGAGGAAGAGACAAGTTGAGGAGGAATCATGGACAGAGGTGTTGCAGCAACCAGCAATCAGGTAAAACCCAAAAATACTGACATGTTGGATATCTGTGCAGTCTGGGAAATTAATGACTGCTTGTGGTTTTTGTTGCACTTTATTAGTACTCATTAGCATGTTTTACTTAAATAAGCTTAGCTAAAACATGCTTAAAATAGCTTAAATAACATTTTACAACCTGTTACTTGCATTTAAATATACCCAGGCTGGATTTTAAATTGTTGTTTTTATTAGCTGATTTTTCCCTGATAGATCACAGTATGAAGGTATTAGAACAGCAGGAATTACTTTTGCAGATTTTACTGGTCTGAAATTTTTTAAAATGTAACTTAAAATGTCACTTTATTTTTATTTTTTGTCACAGGAAGAGAAAATATACAATTTGTAAAAAAACAAACAAATTAGTGTATCATCTTAGTTGTGCAATAGGTTACAAAATTCAGGGTTCAGTTGGGATGATGTGTCATGTCCGATTAAGGAAACACAATGGAACAGGACCCAAATGCAAGAATAAAAAACTTAAATACGTTTATTAAACAGAAGATCAAAACGACCAAATCATGACATTATGGATTGATTCATTGTTTGCATAAGATAAACAAGAATAAAAGGAAACTAAATTTACCCAGGAATGTGGGAAATATTATTTTATAAAGTAAAGAAAGCATAAACTTACACCCAGATAATTAAAGTAACTAGAACATTGCCTCTGGGGAAATTTTGAAAGGGCCACGGGGGCTACTGCCAGGGTGTGTACATTATAATGAGATTCGTATTTGAAATTCAAAATTCGTATTCTGTTTAGAAAAGTAATAGCACACCGATCCCGATCAAGACGCACGTTTTGATATATAAGTTGTCCTGCAACTCTTCTAATTGTAGGAGGAGAAGCAAACCGAAATTGTGTCTGGAAGAGGAAAGGATAAGAAGAAATCCACAGTATAACAATTCAATTCAATTTCAATTCAATTTTATTTGTATAGCGCCAATTCATAACAGAAGTTATCTCAGGACACTTTTCAAATAGAGCAGGTCTAGACCGAACTCTTTAACATTAATTACAGAGACCCAACAGTACCACCATGAGCAAGCACTTGGCGACAAGGGCAAGGAAAAACTGCCTGTTAAAAGGCAGAAACCTAGGACAGATCCTCCGGCTCTAGGTGGGTGGTCGTCTGTCTCGACCAGTTGGGGTGAGAGAGAGAGAGAGAGAGAGAGAGAGAGAGAGAGAGCGACAGACAGACAGACAGGTGCACAGCAACAACAGTATTGGCAATGGCAGTCAAGCAGGACCATGGCAGGAGGCTCCACCAGGATCCATGAGAACCTGCGAGACGAGAAAGCCCCGAGCACTGGTCCCTGCAGCTATCGGTGCGATAGCCCCGTGGCCCTAATAATATTAAACTCTAGAATGTATGTGTATGGCAAATATCATGGGGTATGATGGAAACAGGTCAGAGATTATCTGTGTAATCCATTCACCAATATCTACTATTGGGCTTCGACAAGCAGTACTTTTGTGTCCATGTACAGAAACCTGATGAGGAGCCTCAGACAGCAGGACCGCAGCAGCAGGAATCTTCTGACTGCCGCCCTCCAAGCAAGCAGTATGAGAGGTGCAAGCACAAGTGTCTCATTTGTGGGAAACTGTATGCTGATATAGTCCAGCACCTGAGAAACACAGAAAAGGTGGTCAACAAAACAGAGTTGAGTCTTCTGAGCAAGTTTTCTCATCGACAGTAAGTGTCCTGTTTCCTCTTCAGGATGCTCTTCAAGAGGCTTCTTATGATGCTTTTTCACTATCAATGAAATAGGGTCCAAAACACTATTGTTAATCAGTGTTGTATAGTAAGTTGTTGCTTTTAAATAATCACTGTAATAAAAGTGTTTTTTTCAGTAACAAATAACGTAATGCAAATGTAAATATCAGTCTGTGATGTATAAGGCTACAACTGATTTTGCAAAAGTCTCAAAAATAGATGCAAGGCAGGTCATGAATAATCTGTATTAGCAAGTGTCATATGTTTTTTTAACATTTTTAAGCGTTAAGTGGTCACACATGTTACAAAGAATATGTGTGCATATTTTCTTAGTACTTTGTTTCATTTCACACTTCTTACAAACATTTTTTCAACTACTAAATCAAAGACTCTTCTTGCTTCTCCAGTTTTCGTGCAAATCTGGACTGCCCAGTGCGTTTCTGCCAGTCTAAATATATTAACCGACTCGACAAGCATCTGCAAAGGATCCACACCTTGAAGGTAGTCCCTCTGTGTGATTTGTGTGTGTTGTTGAGTTAGGTTGAGATCTTAAACCCAGCAACTTTGGTCCTTGTTGTGCTTCTTGTTCTTCCTTGCTGTGTGGTGGGTCTGTGGTCTTCATTTGATCCTTGTGTGGTTAATATAGATTCAGAAATGCTGTATTTATTTAGTGCTACAAATCCCACAGAAAGAATATTGCTGGTTGGCTCAAGACTTCCGGTGGAGAGGGGAATGGAGTAGAGGCATGCATTGCGCTCTCTAGCGCTGACTTATCTATCAACCCAAAACCTGATTCGACTCCTCAGTAAGAAGTAATATTTTGCACATGCCTCATGGCCTCCGGAACCAGGCTGGCTAATTTCAATTCAATTCAATTCAATTCAATTTTATTTGTATAGCGCCAATTCATAACAGAAGTTATCTCAGGACACTTTTCAAATAGAGCAGGTCTAGATCGAACTCTTTAAAACATTTGTAGTGGAAATTCTTCTCAAAGTTGAGAGGTCCTAAGTCTCTGAAGAACTTTCAAGCCGGTGTGATAATCAAGTCAATTTAATTCATGCAGCATGGAGAGAAGGTCACGTAGTGAATGTTCTCTCCCGACTTCCAAAATGCTCTCCCTTATATACATTTCAGTACATCTCATTACATCACAAACAATGAAACCCCGTTTGTCTTGCAAATGTTACTCCTGTAAATCCAGGTTTCTCTCACCAAATGGTCCTTTGATCTGTGACTTCCCCCTGGCTCTTCCTATCATAAAATTCAACCCTTTGACCAGGGGCATATCTGTTTTATTACCCCCAAATCCTGTTTCTTTCGCACACATTAATTACAGAGACCCAACAGTACCACCATGGTCCTGCTAGATTGCCATTGCCAATACTGTTGTTGCTGTGCACCTGTCTGTCTGTCTGTCTCTCGCTCTCTCTCTCTCTCTCTCTCACCCCAACTGGTCGAGACAGACGACCACCCACCTAGAGCCGGAGGATCTGTCCTAGGTTTTTGCCTTTTAACAGGCAGTTTTTCCTTGCCCTTGTCGCCAAGTGCTTGCTCATGGTGGTACTGTTGGGTCTCTGTAATTAATGTTTTAAAGAGTTCGGTCTAGACCTGCTCTATTTGAAAAGTGTCCTGAGATAACTTCTGTTATGAATTGGCGCTATACAAATAAAATTGAATTGAATTGAATTGAAATTGAATTGAATTATAAAGAAACTGGAAGCTATACAGGGGTTTTGAATGTGTTAATGGGGAATTTAGTTGTAGCTTTTTTTTTTCTTGACAAATTCATTACTCAGCTTTTCTCTTTCCTCCCAGACATAGACAGAGTCATTACCCGATTATAGGTGGAGATTTAAACCTTATTCAGGATCCTATTCTAGATAGGTCCTCGTCTAAACCCTTTTCTCTCTCAAACTCTGCCACTACACTGAGATCGTTTGTAAATCAGCTTAGCCTATGTGATCCTTGGAGATCTCTCAATCCATCCATCAAAGCCTTTTCGCTTTCCTCCCATGTCCACCGTACATATTCTAGAATTGATTTTTCTTTTTGTGGATAATAGGCTGCTACACTGGGTCAACTCTAGCAAGTATCACAGTATAGTGATCTCGGACCATGCTCCTACATCAGTTGTCATACATTTTCCAAACCACAGCCCTCCGCACACACAGTGGAAACTTTCCCACTTTTTACTGAACAATCCACATTTTAAAAAATTCTTTCAGGAGGAAATAGCCAATTTTTTTTAGGCAAATGACACCCCAGACATCACAAGAAGCACTCTATGGGAGGCGTGTAAAGCATATTTGAGGGGTCAGAAATCAGACACACAGAAAGGATGGTCTGGCTCTCAGATCAACTAGTTAGTATTGACACACAATATGCCGCCGCACCTACTCCATCTCTTTATGACCAACGTCTCAAATTCCAGGCTGAGTTTGATCTTTTGTCAACATCCAAGGTTAAAACAAAATTGTTAAAAACAAAGCAACGGTATTTTGAAATGGGAGATAAGGCGGGCAAACTCCTTGCCCATCAGGCTAGAACTGCAGCTCTCTCGAGACTAATCCCCAGGATAAAATTGCCATCGGGAGCAGTGGTCACTGACCCCAAATTGGTAAATGATGCGTTTTTAAATTTCTATTCTGACTTGTACACGTCTGAGTACTCACCTGAAATTTGGAAGAGCCACAACCCCCTGGAGATGTTCTCATATCCTAAAGTTGATAGCAATCTGGCCGACAAATTAGGCACACCAATCACAGCGGCTGAAGTACAGGAGGCGATTGGGCAGCTACAAAATGGAAAATCTGGTTTAACAAAGGTTTGTTACATGTCAAGCATCTTTACAAAGATAACATATTTACTAATTTTACAGAGCTTGCAGCCAGGTTTGAATTACCTCACTCTCATTTTTTCCGGTTTCTTCAGGCCAGGCACTTTGTTAAAACCAACTACCCTCACTTCCCTAACCACCCACCCGGGTCTCTGATTGACTCCTTGCTCACCCTCTACCCTGTACAAAAGCGTTCCATCTCTGTGATCTACAATGCTATTGACTCCCTTAACCCTGACCCAACGACTCGTCTGAAACAGACCTGGGAGGAGTACATTACACAAACGCTCGACTGGCGAAGATTTATCCAGGCACCAGTGACAGTTGTAACAGATGTAAGCAGTCACCTGCTAATCACACACACATGTTTTGGTCCTGCCTGAAACTCACTGGCTTTTGGCGCCAAATTTTTGATACACTCGCAACAGTGCTTGATATGGACCTTAACCCTGAGCCTTGCACGGCACTGTTTGGCTCCCCTCCACTTACTACACCTCAACTCCCTGTGTCAAAGCGCCGGGTATTGGCCTTTACAACTCTATTGGCCAGACGTCTTATTTTGTTTAAATGGAAACATGTTCTTCCACCTTCACACAATAGCTGGCTTAGAGAGGTCCTAACTCATATCAAGCTTGAGAAGGTTAGATTTTCACTGGCGGGTTCTGATAATGCTTTTAACAAAACCTGGCAGCACTTCTTAGAGTACTTAGACAGAACTACTATTCACCCAGACAGTGACTAGATGCCCCCCCCCCCACACTTCTTTTATTTTCTTCCCCTTTTTAAATTTTATTTTATTTATTTATTTTAATATGTGATTTCAATTTCAATAATGTTTTTTTTTGTGTGTGTCTTTCTTTCTTTTCCGGGGTTAAAAACCAAATAAAAAGATTTATTAAAAAAAAAGAATATTGCTGGTTAAATACATGCATGATTCTAAAGTTATTGAGATATCAATAATGTAATTTTTTTCAGACAGAATGAAATGATTTACTAAATGTACGTTCTGCTTTTTTGCAGAAGCCAATGGTTACACTGTACATCCAGAAAGCGAAGGACAGATACATTGCAAGAGAACTGGCCCTCCTACGTGCCTCGAAACCCACACCACCAATGGTCTCACATCTTGACGAGGTGGATGATGCAGCAATCGAAGAGGGTGTCAGGAGGGTCATAGAGGCTGCTTCCCATGCTGCAGCTTCTACCACTGTGCCTCCTCTTTCGGGCCCCATGTCTAGTTCTCCCCTTGCCAGCCAGGGTTCTTGTGACCCAAAAACAAAAACTATGCAGGATCCTTCTCCCTCAACCAGGCAGGCTTCCTGTGACCCAGAAATACCAGCGATGCAGGATCCTTCTCCCTCAACCAGCCAGGCTGCTTGTGACCCAGGGACACCAGCTATGCAGGATCCTTCTCCTTCAACCAGCCATGCTTCTTGTGACCCAGAAATACCAGCTATGCAGGATCCTTCTCCTTCAACCAGCTATGCTTCTTGTGACCCAGAGATACCAGCGATGCAGGATCCTTCTCCCTCAACCAGCCAGGCTTCCTGTGACCCAGAGATACCAGCGATGCAGGATCCTTCTCCCTCAACCAGCCAGGCTTCCTGTGACCCAGAAATACCAGCGATGCGGGATCCTTCTCCCTCAACCAGCCAGGCTTCCTGTGACCCAGAAATACCTGTGATGCAGGATCCTTCTCCCTCAACCAGCCAGGCTGCTTGTGACCCA